AAGAGCTCAAGATACCGAAAAGAAAAAGAGATGCCAAAGTCAAACGAAATGAAAAACCATACAGAAACTGACACAAAAGTTGTAAAAATGCAAACAATAAATCAACTTTAGCTGCAATTGGACAATATGCGAGCCCAGATGTGGGAGAGGGGGTGCAATGAACTGGGCGGTTGGATCTGTGTGGGGCCACGCAAGGGCATTCGGTGGGGCATGGGAGGGGGCACCAGCTTGACATAGACGCAGACAGTTGCATGTTGCAGGCGTAGACAAGAACAATGCCGGCTAAAGTTTTCCATTTTCCTTGCCTTTATTCTTTTTCTGTTGCGGAAGTGCAAATCTTGTCCGAGAAGAGGAAGACGAGCTGGTTGGCTCAGGCACAGATGATGTCAACAAAAAAAAAGTAAAAGAGGAAAGCAAGACGAAGAACTTGGTCAAAGTAATTTAGAAGCAGTTTATATACAGAACGGCCAGCAAAGTTAACACAAAACTGACCGCAAAAACAAACAAGAACAACAACAATAAAACAAACGCAAAAGGAGGCGGTGGATTTCCGCTTCCGTTCGGAAGGAAGTGCGTAGATGGTAGACTCTAAAATTGAAACTAAAATAAATATTGATAAAGTTGTGGGTTTCAAGCTGTAATACGACGTGACAAGCACTCAAACTGTTCCAAAATAATTATGTGTTTAATTGCTTTTGGTTGAGGTTTAGGTTTCATTAATGCCATAATATAAGAATATAATAATATATAAATTATATTTAATTTAAAAAAGGCTTTTATATTTCTCCTAATCAATCAAAACTAAATATCGAATTTCCTTGAATTAAATTATCGCCTCAATAGGAATAGAAATAAAAATCCATATCAACAGGTTTCATGATTTATCTTCGCTGGTTTTAGAGATACATTTCACCTTATTACAGGTAGACCATGTGATGTTTCTTTATGCGAATATTCTTATATTTTCATTTTATTATAATAGTCTGATGGTACTAGAAGTTTACCCTTATACCTTTGGCTAAGATATATATTAAACGTCCAATAAAAATATTTATTAATCGAATGCCAATAAGGTCTTGCTTTAATTTCAAAAAATGTAGTTCTTATGGGAGCTATATGACTTATCGACACCTCTAAATATTCGGAATATCCAAAAAAATGCTAATCGAAAATAATTAAAATGCATATATGCCCAATGATGAATATGGCTTTATTAATGCAATACCCCGACTTCAGAGACACAAGGTCGATTCCTAAAAATCTTGGAAAAGATTCGTAAAATCCTTTGGGATAAATTCAAGGGCTGTATCGACTTTGCTAAGTGGCTGGAATGTGTTTGTTGTTTATATCTCAGCTCTCATGGAATATGCTGAGCTTGTTATCACGTCTTATCAAATTTACTTATGACGAGCACAAATGCTCAATCAGCTGCAATGCGAGTGCCATCGTATTGCTAATTAATTTGATTTCGAGTCTTGGCCCAATGCTAATTAAGTTTCGGTCGAAATGCAGGCGAGCGCACAGCTTGGACAGAGCTCAGGACATGGTTTTGGACAGGATGCAAGACTGCATAACAATTCATCATCATCAAAATCAAAGTGCATCACGTAGCAGCTGTAGTCGAAATATTGAAGCCTTGTCGCAGTGCAATCCGAAAATCATTTTCTATTTTGTAATCCCGTATGTCCCGTATGGAGCAGGGGGCGGCGGTGGAGCTGCTGGCTGCTAGGGGAGCTGTACTTATTTAAACAATAGTTGTCCCTGGCAGGACACTCGTTCAGCACTAGCCGCAGACAATTGCTTTGGATTGCTTCTGCCCGCCGAGGCGTACATTACATTAGACGAGCATAAAGCACCAAGCACCACACAACTCACCCGGCCATACCGAACCAACCCCCTCCCCGCCCCCCTCCACACAACAACCTTACTCAAATGGTTTCAAGTGCAGTCCGAAACCGCAAGGCAAGACAAGACAACAACATGACCATAGGGAGAGACGGAAGACGGGACACGGGACACAAGACCCGGCACATGGTACATGAATAAGGACATGCAGATAGCCATTGTGCAGCGAGAGGCACACTCACAGACTGACTGACTGACTTGGCTGCCAGCCTGTCAGGCATTTAAATAGTCCTTCTGTTGTCCTGTGATTGTTGCATTAATTAAAGATGCGCTGCATTGTTTGGGGCCGCATCCTGGCAATTGTACGATTTGCTGTCCTTGTGGTGCTGGCAGCTACGGCAGCGTCAGCTCATTGTGTTTTGAATTAATGTCAAAGGATTTGCGTAATTGGGCTATGTCCTTACCAAGGAAATTAACAGCAAGGCCTGACGTTTGACACTTGCCAGCCTTAAAGTGAACTACGGTCAAGTGATTGCAAAACAATTCCATTCGCATTGAGTACAATCAATCAAATGTAAGTTCTTTAAAAAGCTACAAACGATCCGCAATATTAACATGTATAAAAAGAATAAAACTATTAAATAAAATAATAATACTAATACAAATAATAATATTAATATATTAATAACACTAATAATAATTATACTCTAATAATAATCAAATTAATAATATGTAGAATAATAGGAATGATATCATTTACATTATTTATATATTTATTCGTCCAATATTATTTTATTGCGAAGTCCCTTATAACATAAGGAATACCAATACATGCACACACATGCACACATACACGCACGCGCCAAGCAGCAAACTTTTTGCAGCAGCTGTGTTCTTACTCAGCTCAACCTCCCGCTCTATGGAAAATTGATTTCTAAATAGGTTTTTTGTTTATTTTCATGACAATCATGAAATGCTCAGGCCATACAGATGACATTTAAATGTGCGCATAAACTTCAAATTAAAATTCGTCGATAAATGCTTCAACATTAAAGAAATTTATTCTGAAGTTATTTGCAAACCAATTTACTAACCTTCATTTGTGAACACTTGTTATTGATATCGATATTTATAGATTTTAATATACATAAGTGAGGGGCTATCGAAAAATAATTAAATAACTTCTGTGTCTTTTATATAGGAATCTACAAAATTGAAGTCTTGTCTTGTCTTCTTAAGCCTTTTGCCTGCTCCGGTTGATTATATTCTTACATTCATGGTTTCTTCTTAAATATTGTGGGAATTAAGTAAAAGGCAATCGATTTCGATATCGAGCCAGCGATAAATTTTGAAAACCATGAGCCATTCTACCATTCAATTGTTAATATTTTAAGTTAAAAAAACGCTCTTTTATTTCAAATTTCATTGTTCAAAGTTCAGAATATAATAAATAAAATTATATAAAATTAAAGTTTTCTTACCTTAATTCATTGTCAGCCTCCTTTTGATATTTTCCTATTGATATCCTTTATTTGAATTGTTATTGTTGTCACTTGTCAAGGTCCAACGTTTTCAGTTTACTAACCCTCGCAAAATTATTTGAATAAATGCCTTTAAAATGCAAGAGCAAGCATTTTGATAATAATTCTAAGCCCTAAGCTATTTTCTACCATTAATTCCGCCCATTCGCTTATATTTTCGATTTCACACTTTTGCTTTCTATACTAACTATTTAAATTCTTTAAAAGAAGAATCAAAATATATATCTGCAATTTTAGAAATTGCGTCGAACGTTTCACACAAAATGCACCAGTTGAAATATATATACAAAATGTATTTTAAATTTTAACTAAATTTTTGATTTATTGATTGCATTAAAAAATAGACGCAAAATTACTAAATACTAATTACATATATATATATACTATAACTAAATTCATTTAAGGAATATAGATAGGTACATAAAAAACACAATTTTTTGTTGATTGTTGCTGCTGCTTTCTGTTACCCGAAATTGGGAATCATGTTTAAAGAATACAATCAATTTAATAACTAGGCAACGGAAAAGCTACTATCCAGTTGGGTATTATATGTTTAAAAAATAATACTATATAAAACCAAGAGTGCATTTTGTGCAAATAGGGATAACAAATTCGTACGACAAATAAATTCGAACAAATTAACGTATGATCTGTGGCATGTGTGTGTGTGTGTGTGTGCGTGTGTGTGAAAATGCAAGGAATTATGGAGCCGTGTAAGATAGTGCGTTAGTTAGTCGTAGCGTTAGATAGTTAGTGCTGTCCTAATACTTGAATGAAACTTTTCTATCTAAAGCAACAACAATCGTAATTAGCTTAAATTGTTGTCTTCTGCTTAACTCACGCAATAATCACAGCTGCAAATTTTCTTTTGACTTTTCTTCTCAGCAATATATCATAATAATATATGTATATGCAGGCTACGCACAGCATATCATAGGTATGTATATATATATAAATGGGTCTGCTCAATCCTAATTATATAGTCCATGAAGTAGTTTGTTGTCAACTAGTTGATCAACTGCAATAACTAAGCTGGGAAATCAGTTTCCTAACTCTTGTTTTTTTTTTTTTTTGGTGTGAAAATGTTAGTTTTTCTTGTTCTTGTTGTATTTGTAAGTTTAAGGCCACTTAAGTACGCTTTACGATTCGATTAAGTGCGGTTTGATGATATTGACTCTTTCACCATCAAATTTGATCCTCAAGTGCCGAAATTCATTTTGCCAAATAGGCCGACTTTAGCTTTTGATACTCCAGTATGCGTGAAATGCCATATTCCTGCAAGATCAACACAATAAAGAATTAGTTTATTCGCAATATTATGATAAATACAAAATTAATATTGCTCGAGACAGAAATTATACGAAAAATTAAACCACTTTTGGTATATTGAAATAAATTGCTAATCAACAACTAATCTAATCTGTTTAGCTATAAAAACTATTATATATAGATCACAATTTGTTTAACCAAAACCTAGTCTAAAAAAACCTTGATAGTTTTTAGATTAAGTACATTTTTTCATAAATCAAACACTCGACAGTGAATATAAAGACCTTGATTCAAACATGTTCTCAGAATTAAATGTCTTTTTGACAAAATAGTTTAGATAAGAATACAATTTGACCGATTTACGAGTGTGTTATACAGGAAGTATTGCCGGGAAAAGTACTTACCCATATATTTGATAATTCAATATGACATAATAAGGGTAGGACCAATAACAATATAATAATCTGTGCTAATAGAATATGTGATAGGATTACGTAAATTGTCTAATATATTTCCAGAGAATTAGGATATAAAAATCCAGTCTACAACCGATCAATAAAGACGTATAACCTCTTGCTTTAAGCATATTAAATATTCTTAGAAAGAATAATATTTTGGTAAATTTTTTAACAAAATTAACTTGTAATGCTCTTCCCATCTAGTTTCCCTATGTTGACCTGCCGCAAATTAGTAATACAATGAGTTTTATAAATTTTCCAAATGTATTCTTATATATTCCTATATATATATATATATAGCTATGCTTATTATAACACTTACCCAATAACCAAACTCAATGGCGGAAGTAACATTAACCACGGACCAGAGGCTCCAGAAGAGATGTGAGAGCATTGTGAATAGCCGTATCTCGGCATCGACCGTATCGAGCTCTTCGACATTGGGTTCGTAATGCTCATCATCATGATATTTCTTTAGATAGTTGACAATAAAGTCGCGTCGCTGCTGAGCCGTTGCATATTGCTCTTTATAATGGTGAAAGTAGGGGAACTGCGGATTGGTATAGTCGAATGTCCATTCGATGAAGTGATTGGCCAAATCGAAGCCCCGATAGTTGTAGGCGCAATATTCAAAATCAATGATAATGAGATCCGGCTCATGATCGGACATAAAACTGGAGTCCAGTGCAGAATCATCTGTGGTGTCCAATTCGGCGCATGGTGAGGCGCTTGGCGATTTGCTATATGCGAATGCGAACAATTTTTATTTGACGGCGGAGGGGGAGAAATTTGATTAGTTCAATTTGCAACAGATATAACATAATATGGCATGGATAACCTGTATGTATTTGGTAATTTGCTTAGGCCGATTTTTACAACCAGCTCAATAAATTTTTACTCAATTTCACGACCGCAGCAAGGGGCCATCTAGAATTTAAGGTAGTTTTATATCGGCAAGCGAGCACACATTGATCTATATGTATATATAATATATAACTTAAGGACTAATTTAGCAATTGGCAAATAAATACTGGTTAGCGGCCAACAGAGAAGTATGGAGGTTAGCACAAAACTATATAGTATTATATACAACTTACTTGTCATCCGTATCCAAATTGCTGTTGCCATCCAGGCTGTCGCCCAGGGTCTCATCAAAGTTGGATCTATGGCAGAGATAAGACTTCAATTAGTATACATAGTTTATTGATTAATTCTATTCGTTTAAGCCCACCGCAAGATGCTTATGGATTCCCTTGGTGTACGCTCTTGCCCACTGCTCGATTGCCTTAACAATATGTTGCCCTCCTGCAGATCGTTGTGGCAAAAGACAACGGGATAGGCGCCGGCATCTATCACCGATCTCAGCCAGGCTATCTCCTGCACGTAGTTAATGGAGCGCATCAAATTCCGTTGCTTTTGCAGCACTGTCGAATTGGGCTTCGATTCAATCTTGCCCTTCACAATGCTCTCCAAACTGGCCAGCCAACGATCCATACAGTTCCAGATCCAATCCGGTTCCTTGGACATTGGTATATTCAGGCTGTGTATTTCGCCCATTTTCTCAGCGATCTTCATCGAAATGCGCGCATCGCCCAGCTCTGTGGTTGCCAACGGACGTGCCTATAAAACATATGTGTATATATCGAACTTTTATTTATGTAATTTGATATCTATTAAATTGTAAGGCAGACCAGATTAATCTGTCTAATTTGCATCTGCCTATAAGTATTGAAATTCAGCAAGTTAATAAAGAGAAGATCGATTATGGAAACTAGCCTACTTCCAAATATTCCTGAACAATATCCAGTACTATTCAGAAGTAGTATCAAGCTATTCCTCTGATTAACTTTGGTCTTATATAATATGTTGTCCAAAGGTAATACCTAATCATAATTTTATATATTTAAGCATGTCTATATTTATCTTAGACTCAACAAAATAACAGTCTCTCACACTAACAGTCCGTAGCTTCTACGAGTTTTATACAAAAATGGATGGTATACAGATATTTACAAATAACATATTTACGAATCTTGCTTATTCTTTGTAGAATTAGCTATATATTCTAAAATTTCTAAAGAAGAATATCAATATATGCCCTATACTGAACTGTAAAACTTCTCGAAATTCATTAATACCAAATATTCCTGATCAGTGTCAACTGCTTTCTATTCTGGCTGAGTTTCTTATCGAACTTCCACATTTTGTCTGGCCAAGCTTAAAGGAAATTGTCAGAGCTATTTTCCTTTCCAACCCACCGGTATATACTGCTCGATGCGTCCACCGGGAAAGATGCCATGCAGCTTGGGTCCAAAATTGCGCTCACTTAGCAAGGCAAACACCACGGACTCGGTGATCATGCTCTCCAATGCATGATCGCCATGGGTTTGTCCATAGATGCGCAGTAGAACCTGTTGATAAGAATTAATTATCAATATTTGCATACCAGACTAACAAGTTTTGGGCGACAGCATTTTATTTTTGGACGTGCCGATCGACCGACCTACCTCACGTGGTTCCTGCTTGGGGGTGTGCAGCCGCCTCAGCAAACTCGAGTCGCCGCTGTCGCTATCGAAGCGTCGCCGTTTGTTTGCCTGCTTGGCGCTTAGCGCTGCGTCGTCATCATCGTCGGCGACAGACACGGGTACAGGGGTGGGGCTGCTGGTTTCATCAACGCCCACAACCACAGTTAGTGCCAAATTTTCGGCCGCCTCCGGGGCGACAGCAGCTGCCGTGTAGCTGTTATTGTTATTGTTATTGTTATTGTTGCTGTTGTTGTTGTTGTTGTTGTTGTTGTTGCTATTCTTGGCAAATACCGAAGCGGCTATGACGTGCTTGCCAATGCTGACGTTGGCATTTCCTTGCTGCTGTTCCACCTCCAACAATTGCTGCTCATCGAAGTCATCCAAGTCGGGCAGACTTACGTAATACAAGAAATTCGAGAGGCCGCCACTAAAACGAAATAACAAAATAAAAAAAAAAAACAGTTCGAATTTCAATAATTTTGTGGTTATTGCATATAAGACCTCTAGAACTCACCTGATGCGCTTCACCACAAGCTGTTCTGGGGTAACCACCTTCCAGCGTCCGGTTAGATAGTCGCGGCAAATGCGAGAAGCCGCTTGGCGAATTTCCTCGAGTGTGGCCTATTTGGATTTTTGCCAAGAGCGTCAAATCCAAAAGAGAGAGAAACAGAGAAGAGAGAGCATGCGTTAAGTTACGGAGAGCGGCAATAAATGCTTCATGTTTTTTTTTTTTTTTCAAATTGACAAAACAAATGTTCGTACCCGTGCCCGGGAGGGGCTTTTGGGGATGATGTACTAAATATAATAAGTATTTGCATGTGCTTAAAATGGCATATATAGTTTTGAAGACAACAAATAAGCAATGTGTTTTTAGAACAACTGCAAGACCTTGAGCCTGCTAGAAAACATTTTGGTACAAATTATCATGTACTATATATAATACACGTATCAATGAGCTAAAACAAGCGCGGCATGTTGACTGATGTGAACTAAAACCGCAGTAAATTTATTTATAAACAGCTTATAAAACTTTAAATACCGGTTGTGGTACCTCAAATAACTAAAACAAAAAAACAACAAGCTTGCTACCTACTTGACATGTACCTAAGTGCTAAGTATATTATGGAAGTATATAGTATAGCTAGTAGTAAAGCGGACATACAAATAATTATACCTAAACAATAATGAATAAATACAATTTTGCTTATAGAAAACAAACACCAAAACAGAAGTAAGCTATAAAACTAAATCTGAACGACTTGTACCAAAACGTAGGTACTTTGATTTCTAAATTATTCCAGAATTAGATGGTAAGACTGAACTTAATCGAAAAATTGTTCCATTATTGTAATGTACTTAACAATATGTAAATATTATTAAGAAAACTTTGGTACTATCACAATATGTACCAGAAACAATTGGGGTTTATTACGAAACAAGCAAAATGGTATTAAGAATCTTGGTAGACAACTGTCGTGTACCAAAAAGGGACTGACATGTACCCAAAGTTAGAAAGAGATTTAAAAAATGTACATTTTTAAGGGAAAGTGCAAATAAATTATTTAAAAAAATAAAACCCTGCAGTAATATACTATATAGTATTTTATAAATACTTGTGGTTAGCTTACATTGCGTCGAAAATGTTGCCAGATATGTTCATAATTACAACGAGGGCGTTTACAACAATTCTCATCAATTTCTGGTAATTTTTGCTGCTTTTGACGACGAGTTTTGTGTTTATTTAAATGTTTACGTTGTCTCATACTACGCGTATTATGTTTAACAAATGTTCAATAAAGATGTAAATATATATATATATATATATATATATATTGGTATATATACGGTATATAAGTGTAAATCTAATTATATAAAATCAGATGTCTCAATTCCGTATGCACGCAAGTCTTAAATGTTGTTCCGAGTCAAGTCGAATGTTCCTCACAGCTGAGTGTTCAATAATAAACTGAAGCAAAGTACAACAAAACTGACTCATCGACGCCCCGAGATGTGGCCCCTTGCTCTCTCTCTCTCTCTCTCTCTCTCTCTCTCCCTCTCTCTGTTTTTCTCTCTGTCTCTTTGTGTTGATGGTTTTGTGCAGCACCACCACAGCCCTTGCCTTGGGGTTGCTAGGGCAAGGCATATATTTACCTAGAGACCAGAAACTCGACTGTAACTAAGAAATACGTCAATCGGTGCTCGAAAACGAAATATTTGCGTGTTGTGATTCAGAACAGATGTTTGAGTTCTCTGAGACAGGTAAATATACTAGATTGAACTGGTTTGCTGGCAATAAGTTTAAGTCTAGTACCTACTAAAGATAAGATTGGTTCTTAAGCACCTGTAAATATTGTTAACAGGCTTAAACATAGGACCTTGTTGTCTATATTTAAGTCCATTGCGTTCGTTGACCCGTGTTACATACTGGCACCTGTTCAAATAACTGTCGTCAAAGATGCCTTATCTCTTATATTCTTGTCTTTAATTACCTTCAGTTAGTTTATTTAATATTCAATTTGTGTACGTTTTGGGCGATATTACTATAAAATTAGAGCTACCTACAAATGGAATTATCTAGAAAACAAAAACAGAATTTTTATTTTTTTCGACTTCAAAACTATTTAATCATTTATTTTATGTATTTGAGAAAGTCCCTTCAGAAGAATACATCTAATTAAATTCCTTTCGCTTAATTTTATAGATTAGAATCAGCTCGGATATTATATTTGATATATTTGATTTATTTTTGCAACTTTTTATTGTATATATATTTATATTTTCCCTGGTACCTAATCAGCAGGTATGCAATTATTTACGAGATAAAGGTACTCAAAGCGGTGCAACCCTTCGAGATTTTATTTCTCTCTCTCTCTCTCTCTCTCTCTCTCTCCCGCTCTTCGATTTTCTTTCTATCCCATTTCCACCCTCTTCAAAACTGACTCTCACGCTCTCTTATTTTACGTTCTGTTTCTCTCGCAATTGTTTAGGATCTCTTGCTTTTACAGGAACAATCTGGTTCATTATTCAAAACTTTTTACAAATATGTCAAATTTATACTCTTATCTTACATTTGTTAAGATCCTCATTTATTTAAATTTTAAAGAGGAGTTTTTCTTTTGATTTATCTTCCGTCTTTATCAAATAAAGAATGAAGCCAGTTCATTTTCGATCGGATTTGGAGACTAAAAATAAAGTCCATTTAAAATAATACTTATTTCATCCTTTTGGATTTGATTAAAATATCAAAATTATCTGAAAATTATCGTAATAATTGAAATAAAACTAGTTTAATTATTAACTCTCAATGCACACAACTTTCCCCCAACACACAATCACACATATACACATTTATATTACACACAGAGAAACGCGTTCGTCGTGGAATTTTCCACGCAATCATCGCAACAAGAAAATCTTCCATTTACGCACAAAGCAAAGGTCTTATCAAGTGGGTGAACATAATAAGAAGGTCAACACTACAATAAATACTTTATAAAAGAATAAACAAATCCAAGAATCGTTTAAATAACAAATGAAGCATAATGAAAATAAAATGCTGAAGAACAAAAGAAAAATGCACTAATTGCAAATTATGCCCAAATAATTGCGAATTGAGCAACAGGAAA